CAGAACCTATTTTTTTGCGGGGGAGGGGTCTCACAGATTCGCCTGCCTTGCCTCCCAAGTGCTGGGACTAAAGGCGTGCGCCACTACGCCTGGCTAAGAACCCATTTTTAAAAAGCTGGATTGGTGGGCTTGTATCCGTAATTCCATCAGTCCTTCAGCCAGGTGGGAGGCAGGAACACGGACTCAGAGAAGACTGACCGCCCCCCCCAAAGTAGTCCTCAGGCTTCCATACATGCACTGTGGCGCACACACACACACACACGCACACACACACACACGCACGCACACGCACGCACGCACACACATGCACGCACACACACACGCACACGCACGCACGCACACACGCACGCACGCATGCACACACACACGCACACACACGCACGCACACACGCACGCACGCATGCACACACACACACGCACACACACGCACGCACACACAATATTTTTCAAAAAGAAACAAAAAAAATAGTGATTGTGATGGAGTGGAAGCCTTGCCTTGTATGCACGGTCTTGGGTTTGATCCCAGCATTACATATACGCACACACAAAAGAGCTGTTTACATATTTTGAAGAAAAACAAACTTTAAAAACCCCAATAGAAATGGCGTGTCTCACACAGGAAGAGCTCAGCACCTGCCGCTGCTTGCACAGACCTGGGGCTCACTCTTGCTCCGGCTCTAAGCCTCGGTACAGTGCTTCTGCCCCGTTGCCCGCTTGCTTTGCGCCATGCCTACGTGCCTTCTGATCCCTCAACACGCCACACTTTGGGCCCTGGCTCTGCATGTTCCCTTTGTGGGGGCGGCAGACTGGCCTTCCCTGGATACTCACTAGCCCAGCAGCTTGGATGCTGTTCTTTTTTCACTCTTGGTGTCATTTACTATCTAAAATTATTACTCATTGCCACCTAAATTTTTTTCTGAGGGCTGGAGGGATGGCACATAGTACTCTTGCAGAGTAGAGGACCAGAGTTCAGTTCCCAGCACCTATGTTAGGCAGCTCACAACTGCCTGTACTCCAGCTCCAGGGAAGCCAACACCCTCTTCTGGCCTCTGTGGGCACACCCTCATATACAGACACACATATACACATAAATAAAAATAATTTTTTTTCTTTGGTCTTTTTGAGACAGGGTCTCCCTGGAGCCCCAGCTGGCATGGAACTCACTGTGTAAACCAGGCTGGCCTTGAGCCCACAGACACCTGCCAGCCTCTGTCTCCCAAGTGCTGGAATTAAAGGCATGTGCCACCATGCCCAGCATTTTTAAAAAATAGTATCTCACTATGCAGGCCTGGCTGGACTGGAACTTGCCGTGTAGACCAGGCTGGATTCAAACTCATAGATATTGACCTGACTTTGCCTCCCTAGTGCTGGGATTAAAAGTATGTACTATCACACAGCTATTAATTTAATTTAACTTATTATTTTTATTTTTTATGTGTATGAATGTCTTACCTGCACGCATGTAAATGCACCAGTGTTGTGCAATGCCCACAGAGGCCAGAAGAAAGCATCAGATCCCCTGGAACTGGAGTTATGGACAGTTGTTAGCTGCCATGTGGGTGCTGGGAACCAAACCTGGGTCTTCTGCAAGAGCAGCCAGTATTCTTAACCACTGTGCCATCGCTCCAGCCCCTCCCGCTATTATTTTTTAAGATTTTATTTTTGAGCCAGGCATGGTAGTATATAACTTTAATCCCAGCACTCAGTGGATCTTGGAGTTGGAGACCAGCCTGGTCTACATAGTGATTTCAGGCTAGCCAGGGCTATGCAGTAAGACCTTGTCGCAAGAGAAAAAAATTTTTTTATTTAAGTTAAATAAATAAATAAAATAAAATTATTTTCTGTCTTTCCAACTAAAACATTAAGCACTAGGAAGACAGATCACTCAGGAGTAAAGTCTGTTCTCTGGTTCTGACTCATGGTGGGGTGAATAAAAGGTCTCCCAGCCTGGCACAGGGTCTCCTCCCCCAAGAATCAAATGCCATATATTCATGGTCAAAGGGCTGCTGCTGAGCACCTGGATGGAAGGACAGAGAGCAGGGACATTGTACTTCAGAGACACAGCCCTTGTTTTTATGTAATAAGAGCTGGTTAATCTGATCAGCAGTCAAATGTGTAGGAAATTTTATCCTGTGTGGATAGACGTGCAGAGATTGCTGACCATGGGCCTGAGACTTTTCCATTCCCCACTGCATTGAACAGTGTGTGGTGTTTCCCTGGAGTCTGAGGGGCTGAAGAGAGGAGTGTTTCTTACAGTGTGCACAAAGTTCCAGAATTACATATAGAAATGTAGTGGTGAATATTGTTGTGGGCAATGAAGTCTTTCTCCAGTGAGGGAGCATAGCCTTCCATAGATTCTCAAAGTCAGGACCCAGAAAATGAGGGAACCAGGCCAGGGTTTTCAGGCAAGGGACTTGGAGAGGCTAGAAGGGCCTTAACAGGGACTTCAGTGTAAAAGTGGGAGAAAACCAGAGCGCACCTGGTGGTTAAGTTTTTATTGTCAACTTGACACAACACGAGTCACCTGGGAAGAGAGAATGTCACTTGAAGAATTTTCTTGATCAGACTGGCCTGTGGGTATGTCTGTGAGAGATTGTTTTGATTGATGATTGATGTGGGAGGGCCCAGTGCACTGTAGGCAGCACCATCCCTAGGCAGGTGGGCCTGGGTTAAATAAAAAAGGCCAGCTGAGCTTGAGCCAGGAAGCAAGCAAGAGACCAAGTCAGTGCAGCACTTCTCTACCATCTCTGCTCCAGGCTCCTGTCCTGACTTCCCTCTGGATGGACTTGACCTGGAAGTGTAAGATGGCATAAACCTCTCCTCCCCAGGTTGCTTTTGGTCATCTGAAAAGTGAACCAGAACAGAGGACAGAGCCTGGGTCCACTGGCTGCTAGGAAAGGTACTTTGGAAGGGTGGCTGCAAATTCTATCTGACCAGGCACAGGCCACTCTGCCCACAGGCCAGTCTGATCACTCTTCAGAGGCTCCCTGGGCCAACCTGGCATTATGTCACCTTTCTAGTCTGGTCAGAGTTGTTGCACAGTGTGGGGTACTTATGCCTTATGGACTCACCAAGTTGGGAGTGATGGGAAAGCAGTCTAGAACTTTCCACACACATGACTCAGGGGAGAGTTTCTGAATGAGTTTCTGAATGAATTCAACCTGTGTGATGATGAATTTTGTCAACTTGACAGGATCTAGAATCATCAAAGAGACAAATCTCTGGGCATGGCTGTGAGGGATTCTCTTGATAGGTTCACTGAATCAGGAAGGCTCACCTAGTGTGGGCAGCATCATTCCCTAGGTAGGGGTCCTGGACTGTATAAAAAAGAGAAGGTGAGGGGACTGGAAAGATGGTTCAGTGGTCAAGAGCACCGGCTGTTCTTGTAAAGGACCCTAGTGCTGCAATTCCCAGCACCCACATGGTAGTTAACAACTCTTGTTCCAGGGGATCTGGCATCCTTTTCTGACCTCCATGGGCACTGCACACATATGGTGCATTTACATAGATGCAGGCAAAACACTCATAAGATGAAAATAATTTTTAAAAGGTTAAAGCAGAAAGTGAGCTGAGCACATGGCTCTCTCCTCTGTGCAATGTGACCCGCTGCCTCAATGGACTGTACCCTTGAACTGTGAGCTAAAATAAACTTAGCTGATTTTGTCAGGGTACTTTATCACAACAACAGGAAAAGAAACTAAGTGGTAGAGCACCTGTTTATTATGCATAAAGTCCTAGGTTTGATTTCTAACATCACAACAAACAAAAATAAAAACCATTCTTTCAGTCTCATGGCCAACAACAAACATGAGCTGCAGCCACACCCAATCTGCCTAACAAACAGGCTTTAGGACTCTGCTTATGCTGGTCTCTCTTCCAGAAATGCCCTCCATCCACCATTCTCTCCTCAGACACTCATCTTTTAAGGCCCTATTCCAACTGGCCTCACTGCGGACCAGCCATAGCCATGACAGGCCGACATAGCACCATAGCACCTCCTGGCTGCACACTCTCATAGTGCAACTCTCCCCACACAACGAATGATACAGAGCTCTCACAAGCTGCAGATTCTCTGTGGCACATGAACTGTTGCCTTTATCACCTAGTTCCCATTCCTCGCCTACCATATGAAGGATTCACGTGTCCCTATTTGTAGAAAAGGAAAAGAAGTTCAAAGAGGCCCAGAGCTTACCCCAGGTCATAGAACTAGGAAGAGTCAGAGCTGGGATTTAAAATCCTGAGATTAGACTCTCAAGTCCATCCATGTCCTTTCGCATCTGTGAAAGGAGTGTTATGGTGTAACTCCCATGTGACCTACAAGAGTCAGGGTTAGCCTTTTCAAAACATGGCTGTCTACTTTTCAAGGCAGCTCTATGCCTAGATCAGAGCCAGGCAGAGTATCCAATAGATGACTGTGGAGTTGATGGGAGGGTAGAAGCTTGGTGAGAAGTCTCACCTATTATCAACTATAGCAGGAAGGGCCTCTGAGGGGGAGTCTTCAAGAGCAGAGGAATGGTCCTGCACAGGGAAACCAGGGAAGGCCCTTCTGACTGTCTGCCCTGGCCTCTCTTGCGTGCGTGTGTGTGTGTGTGTGTGTGTGTGTGTGTGTGTGTGTGTGTGCATACAGCTTCATGGAGGTCAGAGGACCACCTGCAGGAGTCAGTTCTCTTCTTCCATCATGTGGATCTCAGGGATTGAACTCAGTTGTCAGGCTTGGTAGCAAGCATGTTTTCTTGCTGAGTCGGTTATTCAGTGCTCCTTGTGGTTCTGATTTGGGGCTGGGTGTGACACCTCTCAGGGACTCTTGGAGACCAAAGCTGCTCTGGGTAATATGTGAATGAATTTCAAGCTCTAAGAATGTGTCCTGAATGCTCTGTCTCTGTTCCTGGTCTTTATAATGAGTGTGATTCAAGGCATCAGTCCTGGTCTCTGCAGAGGGCCTTGCCCTCCTTCACAGGATATCCCTGGGCCCCACCCCTCCTCAGACCCCTGAGTCTCACCCTCGGTGCTGGCATCATCCACCAGGATTATCTCCTTCAGCAAGATGGCAGGGCTGGTGTGAAGAACGCTATATACTGTGCGAAGCAGTGTGGACCAGGCCTCATTGTGGAATACAATGACCACACTGGTGGTGGGCAGCGGCGGGCAACGCCGGAACTTCTGGTCAACACACCTAAAATAACAGAAAGATGGACACAGCTCTCTAGATCCTTGGGTAGGGGGTGTTTCAGGAGTGGGAAGGAATCTGTCTAAAGCTCCTTAAACTACCCTGGCTCAAGAACCACCAGCTTCCATTCCCCGTGTGGTTGGGAATTCCCTGTCAGTGACTCCTCCCTACCTGCTTTGAGCCTCTGTGCATGTCCTAACCAGCCCATTCCAAAGGCACTCTCAGAGCAGGCTAAGTACCTGACTGTGATGCTCAGGTACCCCATCCATCTCCCCTCTGCTCCCTGCTCAAGGGTCAGCAGTTCCCACGGCTGACTTCCTCCACCCTATGGGCACCAGAGAAGGTGTGAGTCTGTCCAGAGGTCTCAGGGGGGACATAATAAAGTGAAAATGTGACAACTGAGCAAAGTGACTGCAGCTGCTCTTCAGTGCAGGGAGGGTCCTCTCTAAACCTACTCCTAACTCCTGTAATCTGACTCAACCATCGTGGGCCAGTTCCTGGGACCTTTCCTCCTCATCTGCTCCAGCAGCTGGTGTGTGGCAGTGGGCTGTGCTGCCACCTAGACCCTGCACCTGGGGGTGAGGTCCTGGATCTCAAAGACCATAGAGCTGAACACCCATTTGTTGAGACAGGGTCTCCCCGTGGTAAACCAAGCTGGCCTCAAATTTGCAATCCTTGTGCCTGAGCCTCCCAAGTGCTGGAATGACAGGCTTGAACCATCACAACCAGTTTCCTTAAAATTCTTCCTAGCCTCTTTCTGCTGCTCAGAGAGATGTCCTGTAGACCCACCAGGGAGCTTCCTCAACTTGCTGCACTGTCTGCCCCACACCAATACACCCATCTGCTGAGGAGCTGTAGGGTTGGAACATGTTGTGAACATGGTTCACATCTAAGGAACACCAGGCTCACAACTCTAAAGGATCATGCTTTTTAGTGGTGTGTCTTACCCTTCTGACTAACTCTTTAGTTCAAAAAAGACAATCGTTAAGTGAGAAAGACACAAAATCTTTCATCTAGACATAGTGTGAATACAGCCAGGGACACATTAGCATGAGGTAGGGACAGCACTGAGATCCAAGTACTGCTCTCCTGTCAGAATAGCTTCATGGGCCCATGGCCTTTGCTGGAGGAAACCAGGTAGTATGGGGACCTTCCCTACCACCGAAGCTGACCAGGAAATGTCCCCTCTCAGCATCAGAGGCCCACAGTCTTAGGAACAGGCCTCCACAGAGGGCAGGGCCACAGAAACCACAGGCTCCTTCCAGCCCCTCCAGATCCTGGGTCTGCAGTCCTAGGTTCCTTCTTCTGGATCCTGTTACCTTCTTAACTGAGTTTCACTCTCACAGGTCTCTGTGGGACTCTGGCCTGACCATAGTCTTCCTAGACTGTAGCCCCTAGATCAAGGCAATCAGGCAGCAAAAGAAAAGATAGCTTAAAGGAAATCCTTGTCTATTCTCAAATCCCCTTCAACTTTGCTCCTGTGGAACAAAAAACCTTCAACTGTGTGTTTCTGGCCTGTGGCCACAACCTTCCTGGCCACACTTCTGGGAAAGGCCTGGTCTCCCTTGAGGACTCTGGGTGCTACTTACTCAGGGGGCCGGGTGTCTGGCCCCAGGGACCTCTGCAGAGAGATGCGGTCACTGGCAAAGGCATTGAAACAGTGCTTTTTATAGCCCTGTTCCTTTTCCTGTGTCTCTAGAGGGGTCCACTCTTTCTTCTGAAATGGTTTCCCATCTGCTCCAGGGCTGTTGGGGTCCTGCACTGGGCGTTCCCAGAAGGGCTTCAGCTCAGCAGGGGTGTAGAACCCTGGGAGACAGGACTGATTTCTGGAGACCACGGTCTGCTGGGGCTCTGGGGCCCTGATCTGCAGCTTGTTCACAGCGTCTAGCATGAGTTCCAGGACATGATCCTTCTGGCCCACCAGGGACTTCAGCCATGGCTTCTCTGTGGCCTGCTCCCTGCTGCTTACGTCCCTTTGCCTCATGAAGAGGAAGAGCATGAAGACACTGCCCAGCATAGCCAGGCGCAGTCGGCCTCTGCGCAGGAGCCTCATCATCCACCCAGCAGGGTCAGCTCTGGATGCTTGGAAATAGATTGATATGCCAGGGTGGCCACACCTGGGGCCTTAGCCTGAGAAAAGAGGGGGGAAGAGAGAAATGAGCTGTGACAGAGATGAATAGGAGCCAAAGGCTTGGGGCCTGAGTCCTGGCTCTGTTCTGAATGGTGGTGTTTCTTTCAGTCTTACCTGTTGCCTAAATTTCCTTTTTCTGGAAACTGGACTCAGTGTTTCTTGCCTGCCCTAAGCAAAGAAATCCTAACATTGCAGATTAGGGTGACCAATACTGAAGGTCCACATGAAGCGCTCTAATGGGCATAACTGCTTTGGGAAACAGCTTGTCACTAACAGTGAAATTTAAGGACTAGAGAGATGGCTCAGTAGTTAAGAGCACTTGCTGTTCTTGCAGAGGGGAGTTCAGTTCCCAGCACCTACACAAGGCAGTTCACAACTGCCTGTAACCCCAGCTCTAGGGGATTTGATGCTGTCTTCCCACCTGCATGGGTACCTGCATACATGTGCCATACCCTCTCACACACATATACATAAATTTCAGAGACCTACCTGCCTCTGCCTCCCAAGTGCTTGGATTAAAGATGTGCACCACCACACTTGGTTGCTTCTGCTTTTTGAAAGAGGGTCTTGCCAAGTGGCCCAGGCTGGTCTCTAACTCCCGACCTTCCTGCCTCAGCCTCCAGTGTGCTGGAACTATGGGCATGCATCACCATGCCTGGCCCACTTCTAGTTTTGTATCTCAGATAAACTGGTATGTGTAATCTGGAGGCCTGGACAGTAATGTCTATAGCAGCTCTGGCCAAAATGGCAACAATTGGTAATAACTGATAGTCCATCAGCAGAAGAATGAGCAGATAAATGTGAAGTAGCCACACCCACGCTCTCTACTGCAGCCAAAGGAACTCTTCGCTGCTTCATGCAAGGTTGCTAACACACCGGGGTGAAAAGGCATGCTGCACAAAGATACAGTGCATTTCCATATATAGAAAACTGTAAACTATGCCAGTTAAATATGTTCTTTATAAATAGAAATATGTGGTAAAGCTATAAAAGGCTTTTAAAAAACCAATAAAGCCAGAGTTTATGAAGAGAGACAAAAATGGATTAGCACATGGAAGGCAGAGGCAGGTGGATCTCTGTGAGGGCAAGGTCAGCCTGGTCTATACAGTGATTTCCAGGTCATGGTTAAAAAGGTAGATTAAAGGAAATTAAAGATGGGCAAAAGAGGATTTAGAATCAAAGTCTTTTTTTCTGGAAGTGGGTAGTGACTGGTGGTGGTCATTCTTACTCCTTATGTCCTACACATATTTTATAAATACAGTTGACCCTTGAATAACGCAGGGGTTAGAGGTACCAGTCTCTTACTCAGTTGAAAATATAACTTTAACTCCCCCAAAACTCAACAACTAATAGCTTGCTATTGATTGTAAGACTTACTGATAACATAAACAATTCATTAATACACATGTAGTATGTTGGATGTATTAGTATGGAGAAAAATACATATGAACCATGAAAGATCATTTTGTACTGTGATATTCAATTTTCTGGAAAGACAAACTGCTCATACGGCAACAATTGGTGTTGCATGACATTTTAAGTGGCTACTCAGTGCTTGAGCTCACCAGGGGAGTGATAGGAGACGTGGCTACAAAATTATGCTAGGCATGGTGGCGCACACCTTTAATCCCAGCACTCGGGAGGAAGAGGCAGGCAGATCTCTGTGAGTTCAAAGCCATCCTGATCTGCATAGTGAGTTCCAGGCCAGCTGGGGCTACAGGGAGACCCTGTCTCAAAATGATCAAATTGAAAAAAAAATTATGATAGTACAGCAATCTATATATTATTATAGTTAAATTTATGCAATTATGATTTATTTCAGTTTTTGGTGCTGATGCCTCACACCTGCTAAACACACTTTTCACTGACCCATCTCTCTAGCCCCAGTCACGACTGAACACTGTCTTTATATTTGTCTTATTGTTCTCAACTTCAAATAGCACAATGAAGAGTCTGTGCTTATGCATATAAATTCTGATAAACAATCATTTATAATAGATTTGTGTGGTCTGCAGATACAGCTCAGTTGGTAGCAAGCCTGCTTGCCTAGCTAATACATATGAAGCCTTTGGTTCCATCCCCAGCACTAAATAAAACTAGATGTGGGGGCATACACCTGTAATCCTAGAGCTCAGAAGGAGGGAGAGGGATCAGAAGTTCAAGGTCATCCTTGGCTACCTAGTAAGTTTAAGGTCAACTTGGGCTATATGAGACTCTTATTTTTTTAATACTTTATTTATTATTTTATTTTATGTGTATGAGTGTATTGCCTGCAGGAATATGAGTGCACCCATGCCGTGCAATACCACAGACGTCAAAAGAGGGCTTCAGGTTCCCCTGGAACTGGAGTTAAGGACGGTTTGTAGCCGCCATGTGGGTGCTGGAAATCGAACCAGGGTCCTCTGCAAGAGCAGTCAGTGCTCTTAACTGCTAAGCCATCTCTCCAGCCCCAAGACTCTTATTTTTTTTAAATGTTGTATATATTTTATCCCAAAGTTAGCTTATTATTATCTACATGTATTTTATGTACTTATGATATCCCTAATTTAAAAAAATATGGTTTCTAGTTTCATCTGTCAGTTTTTCAAATTGCTGCAAATTCCCTGCCCCCCCCAAATCCACATATGAGCAAAGCTATGTAGTCCAAACTCATGTTGTCCAAGAGCCAACTGTATTCTTCTATATTTATTCATTCACATAATTCTTTTTGTTCTTTTTGAGACAGGGTCTCCCTATAGCCCCAGCTCGCCTGGAACTTACTATATAGACCAGGCCGGCCTTGAACTCACAGAGATGCACCTGCCTCTGCCTCCCAAGTGCTGGGATTCAAGGCATGTGCCACACTATGCCCAGCTCATTTACAATAATTAAAAAAATATTTTATTGTTTTAATTCTATGTGTATGAGTGTATTGCCTGCATGTAGGTAGGTGCACCTGTGTCATGCAGTACCTGCAGAAGTCAGAAGAGGGTGTCAGATACACTGGAACTGGAGTTAAGGACAGCTGATAGCTGCCATGTGGGTGCTGGATCCTCTGTAAGAGCAACCAGTGCTCTTAACTGCTAAGCCATCTCCCCAGATCCATAATAATACTTTTTTTGACAGGGTCTCACCTATGTAGCCTAGGTTGGCCTAAAACCCATGATCTTCCTGCCTCCACTTCCTACAGACCGAGATTCCTGGTATGTACCACTGCTCCCAGCTCAAAAAATTTGTTGTTGTTTTAAATGTAAGATTATATGATAATACCTTCCAGGTAGGATTAGGCACAGGTGGGTGCTTATCAGCCTGCAGAACTTTCTCTGGAGAACTTGGTAAGTATAAGACCCAAGGCCTGGCCACAAGGCCTAGCTCTGTCCCTTCTAGTAACAGCAACTACCTCCTGGGGTTGGTATAGGATTAAGAAAGAAAAAAAGAAGACTGAAGGGACCACTCAACAGCTAAGAGCACTTGCTGCTCTTGTAAAGGACCAGGTTCAGTTCCCAGCACCCATGCTGAGTAGCTCACAATCACCTGTAATCCAGCTCCAGAAGGATGTGCTGCCTTCTTCTGGACTCTGTGAGCCCCTGCACTCATGCATGCATACACCCCACACACAGAAAAACATACTTAAAAATAAAACAAAACCAAAAAGAAGAAACAATTCACAGGATTTTGTCAGTTTTGTCTCTGTGCACAGTAAGTTTTAAAAATCATTAGTTTCTATCATTAACTAGTTGTGACTCTTAGATGGTTTATTTATCCCTTGAAGCCTTGATTTCTTCATCAATAAAGTGGGTGCTACTAATACTTAACTCATGGGGTTGTATTGAGGATAAGGTCAGGTAATGTATAGAAAACACTTGGCAGAGTGCCTGCCATTTACTAAGCTTTCATAAATATTATCAAGTAATTCTATTGTTATAATTAATAAGCCCCTACTCAGCTTCCCAGAAATTATACTCAAGCAACTGGTTCTTGGCCAAAACCACAATCATCACCTTTTGCATGTTTTGCTTAAAAGTGACTCTGGGCTGGTGGTACTGTAGTTAAAGCCCACTGTCTCTTACGGTGTATCAATAAACCTGTTCGGTCTACTCTTTAAAAACAAAAGCAAAAAAACAAGTAAACCAGTGACTCTGGTTGAGGTATTTGGTGTTGTTATTGTCATCTACAGTCTCTATGTGAGGCCTTGCATTTGGGGAATACAAGCCAACATGATCTCAATAGTGAGGAGGCTCACACTGGCCTGGGGAGACCAAGGGCTGAAGAGATGGCTCAGTGGTTAAGAGCAGGCATTGTTCTTGCAGAGGAACCAGGTTCAGTTCCCAACACCCATGCCAAGTGACATGGCACAGGCACCTGTAACTCTAGCTCCAGGGGATCTGACACCCTCTTTTGACCTCCACAGGCACCTGCACTCATGTGCACACAGCTACATACAGTCACACATGCATACACATTAATTTTTTTAATAATTTAAAACGCAAATGAAGGAAAGTTCTTTGAACATATTTTGTATTATGGGTTATCTGGGATATGGAAGAGATGTTTTTATTCTCCCGGTATCTATGGAACACCTGCTATCTGCCAGGGATCCTGTAAGATTTGGGAAAGACAGGAATGAGCAAAGTCTTCCCTTAGGGAGAGCACAGATAGCTGGGGAGTCAGATTCCAAACAGAGATTAAACAGCAAGAAGGCAGCAGGAGGGGTGCTGAGGGAGGAGCACTAGAAACAGCACATGGGAAAAGGTCAAGACGTCCCACAGCGGGAGAAACGGACCACGCACCCGTGTTCAAGTAGGAGTTGTCGGGACCAGCTGGATACATTTCAAGCAGGGAGAAGAATACCATCAAAGGCCTAGATGTGGCCAATCAGAGACTGTAACAGCCCAGGGTTGTGGGAATAGGAGCAGCAGAAGATGGCCTGGAGGTGGGACTGAAGTAGTGGGCTTTCTTCTTGCTAAGTTTACCCTCAGGGTATGAGGAACAATAAAAGATTTTCCAGGAAGAGGAAAATGACAGGTGGTGGCTGATTCCAGGACCTGCTCGGCAGCTGGATGATAGTCATGGGAAGCTGGGGTCTGACCAGGAAGCAGCAGCTCTGCTGGCATTGGGTGGGAAACAGAGGGACACAATGAAGTGTGAGATTCAACTCCTTTCCTCAACAGATTGAAAAATCTTGCCAGAAGTGGGAGAGAGGCATCTACATGGCATCTGTCCACAGGGAGACAGGGGCAGGGAGAAGACTGTTCTTTGGATGCTGTCTTGTACTTTGAACCTGTCCATTCTACCTAGGCGAATTCATGAAAGTATCAGTAGCCCAGACAAGTTGAGAAAGGCAAAGTTCCCTCCTGGCTGGATAAAAGTTTCCAGGCTGGGGAGGATGGGGTGGCGGCTCAAGAGGTTCTGCTTGAACTAGAACCTCAAACATGGGGCTGTCAAGGCCTGACAGGGCTCTATAGAATGGAGCAGTGTTTGTTGAATCACCCTACAGGTTGCTTTTTTGTTGTTGTTGTTGTTGTTTTCCTACTTTCTGTTTACTTCCCACTCTAGCAAGAAAGGCAGAACAGCTGGAAATGGGCATGTTAACACTGCAGTTACTAGGCTTAGCCAGTGCTCAGGACTCACCCCTTCCAGGAAGGCCTCCTTTGAATCACCCAGATCTCTCCAGCTCCCACTTCCAGGCACTGCCTTGTGGTCCCTTGTGGTCCCTCTTTGCTCCTTTTATGTTCCCTGGAGAAAGAGACCTAGGTTTAAACTGAGCTCCTCCCAAGCATTAGTGTTCTGGATCCAACCTAGCTGTCTCAAGCCTTCTCTCTGGAAGCAGCAGTTCCTTAAGGTTCTAACCACATCCTGAAATGAAACAAGACACCTGTGATTAGACTTAGCAGGAAGGGACTTGCTCTCTAGTGTGTTTGCTCAGCATGCAGGCAGTAGGAAAACATCCCATGAAAGAAATACACAATTTCATGGATGCCACAGAGCTTTGGGGTTAAGGTTTCCTGCTCTGTGTGCAGGAGGCAATTCCTTGAATTGTAGTAAGCAAGTTCCAGCAGCTCATGCCTCCAGCAGCCTTAGAAAAGGAATAGCCCCTACCTAACACAGTACTTGGTCAAGTTCAGGGCTTTGAAGGCTCTACTTCCCAAGTCCTGTATCTCCCTCACCTTTGGGCCTCCACAGCCTGGCCTTCAGGGCCACAGTAAGAGTGCCCACAACCCTTGTCCACCCAATTCTTTCCTGCTGCCCCTGAGCAACCATTCCCAAGTCTTTTTCCTCCCCTGGGCCTGCAACTCAGGCTGTCTGTACTAAGAGGCCCTGAATCCCCTTCCAGGAAGTTTTCCCAGATTGAACAAATGAAATTTGCTTCCTGGACCCCACCGGCCAACCATGAGCTCACCTGCTCTCACTGTTTTAAGAACAGAGCCCAGCGTCTACCTACTGCCAATTCCAACTTGTCACTGTAAAATAACCTCTGAGTAGGGAAACCAGCATGAAAAACTTCTTTTAAAAACCAGAATATGGGGGCTGGAGAGATGGCTCAGTGGATAAGAACACTGACTCTTCTTGCAGAAGACCTGAGTTCAAATCCCAGCACCCACATGGCAGCTAACACTGTCCGTAACTCCAGTTCCAGGGGATCCGACAGCCTCTTCTGTTCTCTGCAATGCACAACACGGGTGCACTTACCCACATCCCACATGCAGGCAATACACACATACACATAAAATAAAAGAAATAAAATATTTAAAAAAAAAAAAAAAACAGAGTATGATGAAAAGGAAACAAAGTATCACATGCCGGGCTGAGGATGAAGCTCACAGGTAGAACACTTGCTTAGCATGTGAGAGGCCTTGGCTCCATCCCTACTTCTACAAAAGGAGTACATTTCATTATTTTATTAAATTTTCTTTTCTTTTTTTTGTCTTTTTGAGACAGGGTTTCCCTGCAGCCCCTGCTGGCCTGGAACTATGTAGACTATACTATCCTTGAACTCACAGAGATCTACCTGTCTCTGTCTCCCCAGCACTAGGGTTAAAGGTGTGCCACACCACGCCCAGGTTTAAAACTGTATCCCAGGCTGGCTTCAAACTCCAGATTCTCCTGCCTCTGCTTTTGCCTACCAGCATAGCCTACCAGCATGTGCCACCACAACAGGCTTAAATTTTCATTTAGTGGCTGGAGAGATGGCTTAGAGGTTAAGAGCACTGACTGTTCTTGCAGAGGACCTGGGTTTGATTATCAGCACCCACATGGTGGTTAACAATCGTCTGTAACTCCGGTTCCAGGGGATATGACACCCTCTTCTGACCTCCGTGGGCACTGCAAGACACAGGTGCACTTACATGTACAAATACAATACGTTCATACACATAAAATAAAATAATAAAAAATTTTAAAATATTTATTATTATTTTTTATGTATATGAATGTATTGCCTGCATGTGTATAAGTGTACCACATGTGTGCAGTGCCCACAGAGGCCAGAAAAGGGGGTAAGATCCTCTGTAACTAGAGTTATAGACAGTTGTTAGGCACAGTATAGGTGCTGGGAACTGAATCTGGGCCCTCTACATGAGCAGTCAGTGCTCTAAACCACTGAGCCAGCTCCCCTTAAAGTTTTTTAAAAATTTTATGTGTATTAGTGTTTTGTCTACACATGTAAGTGTACCACGTGTGTACAATGCCTGTGGAGGCTGAAAGAGGGTGTTGGATCTCCTGGAAATGGAGTTAAAAGGACCAGTGCTCTTAACCGTTGAGCCATCTCTCCACCCCCAAGCTTTATGACTTTTGAATAATCAAATTTTAATATTATTTCACTCCAGTGAAGAGGACAAACACTACCTGGTATAAAGTTAAAACTAGGGCTGGGGATTTAGCTCAGTTGTTTGAGTGCTTGCCTAGCATGCACAAGGCCCCGGGTTTAGCCCACAGCACCACATAAACTGGGAATGGTGCTTGCACACCTGTAACCTCAGCATTCAGGAGATGGAAGTAAGAGGATCAGAAGTTCAAGGTCATCCTTGGGTATACAGAGTTTGTAGCTAGCCTGTCTCAAAAATGAAATGAAATGAGATAAAATCATGTTAGTCACAATTCATATATCTAAAGGAAGGTGAAAGAAGTTTAAATGATTAAATTTTAAAATTATTTCTGTTACTTTGTACAATTTATACTTATGATACTATTATAGGTGTAAACCAGCCCTAAGGTTTTTCTGTCATACCTGTGTGAGTACCAGGTCTGGTGAAATGCTTTCCTTTCCAGTTAGAGAAATTTTAAGTCAGTGACACAACCAGATCCCTGCTCCTCTTCCAGGAAGCCTTCTTAGGTCTCCTAGTAGAATTAGCCACTTCCACTTAGCCACCTGCCTCTGCTTTTCTTTTTCTGCACTGCTGAGGATTGAACCCAGGGCTTCAATACATTCTAGGCGAGGATGGTTTGTTTTAACCAGAGTCACTCCAGCTTTTTCCACTCGTACTTAATTTCCAGCACAGCCTGTCTTGTGTCAAAGCGTCTCCTTTCCCCTAAGGGACCTGGACTCCTGGACTTCTTGAAGGGCCATATAGAAACTTTTTATCACTTGCCAAGTCTGAAGTACATTTTTATATGTAGTAGGTTTTCCATATAGAGTAGATGATCAATTATCTTATTAAATGAAATGAGCCAGAGGGGTTAAACTTTAGGCAGTGGCTTTGCTAATGAGTGTACTACTACAGGTAGTAGGTGATATTCTGTTGTCTGGACTCCTGTCTAGGACTCCAGTATCCTTGTTTCTTAGGTGGGGCTATCTTGGTTGGGTGACATCACTGGTGACACCCAGCCAGGAGCTCCCAGGAGCAGATTCTGGTCTTCTGATTCTCAGACCACTGCTCTGTTTCTAGCACTTTTACCTCCCCATTGGAGGAGGGATAGGGCTTTCCTGAGTCTCCCCCTCCACTCCTAGACCCCCTTGCTGGCATTCCCTCCTATCCAGCTCCCACCCAGGGATCAAATGCAGAAACTAGGAAATACCAAACACAGTCTCAGTTTATGTGAAAGTCAGGGTCAGCGGCCCAGAACACACCCTCGCTGGCCAGGTGGCTCTTCCTGTTTATCAAACGAGCTGCTCACCTCAGGGAGAGGCTACAGACGTGGCAGCCAGGAAGGAGCTCTCTCAGCCATCTCTATAGGGATGTTTGCTCAAGCTAATCAGCTCAGTTACAGATCTCTTCCAAAGCATAGCCACTCTTGGAAAGGATATAGGTGTGTGAAGCTGGACATCCAGTTGAGAAGGGGACAGGACAGTTTCAAGATCCTGGAGAGGGAAGGGCACTGCAAGGCTATATGGTCAAAGGGTTGTCCCTTCTTCCTCGCTAACACTGTCTCCATCAAATCCAGTACTTGTCTCACCTCCCTGGTAGTCACAGTAGGAAAGGAGGACTGAACTGTCTCCTCCCAAGCTCTCCTTTCCCCTCAGATGCCCCTTTGATGACAGAATGCTGAGAGGCTAACACATTCCCCTAATTATATGTTCGTGGACACTTGCGCTTTTCCTAAGAACAAAGCTATATTAGCATGACTCATTTTTCCAGAAAGATGCACTAAATGCTGTTTCTGCAGCCAGTCCATTAAAATCTCCCACCCCTAGCATATCTAGGCTCACTTTATGTTTACCTAAGATGTTGAACTGAAGCTACCCAAACATAGATTTTCAACTGGAAAACTCACCCCAACTTTGCTCACCAGATACTGTGCTACATGTATCTAGAATAAATAGGTGTTCACTAAACATTTGTTGACCTTTTCCCAGAAATAGTCACTGCAAATCAAAATAATAGGTGGCTAAATAGCAAGTCCAACAGGGCATAGGTTTTTCTCTGGAAGGTCTCCAGGCCCTGCCAGACAGGCCAGGAAGGTACCACTGTTCATCTCCAGGATTCTACCGACAAAGGAGGGTCCCAGGGCTTGAAAGAAGGCAGAAAAAGGGATCTGAATTGAGTTTTGTCTTCTGTTTGTTGGTGGGGGATATGGAAGAAACAAGCCAGAGATTATAGGACAGATATTTCTAACAGCTCAACCTAGTCTCCAGAGTCAACGGGTCAGGGAACTGAGGTTTGTCACTCTGCCCTCACCCTGCATCTGCTCTTGGTTGCAGAAGTTCTACCCACCTGCCAGAACTTCCACGAGGGTCTGCATCCAACCTGCTGAGCCTGCCAACCTGAGAAGTTTCCAGTAGTATCGGAACCCTCCAACATCCCCAACTCCTAGCCCACTCCAACAGCTGTAGTGTTGAATCCCTTCTATTGAGAAGGTACCAAGCCCACTCCTAAGCCACAATAATTATGCCTTGTCTCCTGGGCCCTCCTCTTCCTCTCCACTCAAAACTGTCATCAGAAATTGCTCTTCTTCCTAGTACCCACAGGGCAAGCAGCAGCTTCTCCCCTTTGGATCAGGACAGCCCCATGCACATTCCTTTAGACTAAGGCTATTCGACTGTGGCAGAATCAGCCAGTAGTCAGTTTCCTGTCTGTACTAACCTTCCAGCCTGACCATATGCTTGGCACAGCTGACCTTCCCCTTCTTAAAGTCTCGCTGTTGTCACCTGGCTAAGCAGTCTAAGCTTCAGTTGTTTCAGATTCCTTACTCCTAGTGGGATGTGATTGCACCTCAATTCCAGTGCTTGGGAAGCTGACACAGGAGGATGGAGAGTTTGAGGCAGCCTGGACTATACGTATAAGGCCATGTCTCCACAAAACAAAACAAACAAACAAAAAAGACAACTGAATTTCTTACTTGTAACTCCTTTTTGCAAGATACCATCTAAGGCTTGAGAGATGGTTCAGATGGTTAAGAGCTGACTTCAGTTCCCATCATCCACATCCGGCAGCTCACAACCATCTGTAACTCCAGCGCCCGGGACAACTGACTTGCCCCTGGCATATACACATAGATGTAACTTAAAATAATAAAAATCTTTAAAGACTAAAAAGAAGGCTTCTTGGCAGAACATGGTGGCTCACACCTGTATTCTCAGCACTTAGGAGACATACACAGGAAGATTAGGAGTTCAAGGTCATCCTCAACTACATGAAGAGTTTGAGGCAAACCTGAGCTACATGGGACCCTGTCTCAAGAAAAGGAAGGAAGGAAGGAAGGAAGGAAGGAAGGAAGGAAGGAAGGGTTGGAGAGATGGCCCAGCAGTTAAGAGCACTGGCTGCTCTTGCAGAGGACCTGGGTTCAAGTCCCAGCATCCACATGGTGCCTAACAACCATTGTAATTCCAGTTTCAGGGGATCTGACGCCCTCTTCTGACCTCTGTGGGCATTGCACAACATGGGTATACTTACATACATGCAGGAAATACACATAAAAATAATAAATACAATTTTTTTGAAAATGATTTTAAAAAGCAAGCAAGCAAGTAAGCAAGCAGGCAGGCAGGCTTCCTAGACTAAGGTTGTGTGTCACTGCCCCCAGGAGCTAGGTATGCTTCTTGGTTCCCAAGAGCCACTCACTCCCCGTGCTTTCTCCATATGGGACTTTCCTACTAGATTCATAGAGGAAGGTGAACCAACAAGCCCAGACATCTAGATCCTGTTTTCCTTTTCATTCTCCACCTTTAAGTCCTGTTTCCCAAGTGTTTGAATCCAGAATTCTTGCTCTGACTGTTTGGCCAGTCTTCCATCCCCAAGGCCTCCATCCCTCTGCACTGAGGATGTGGGTAGGTCACTAACTGCCCTATCGGTCCTTTGTTCCATTGGATGCAGAGCTGAGGGTGAGAACTGGGTTTCTTTTTTATTCATATTTGTGTTTTGCCTACATGTATGTAAACACATGACGTATATGCAATGAGGAGGCCAGAAGAGGGCCTCCCTGGAACTGGAGCTACAGATGGTTGTTACTCACCATGTGGGTGCTGGGAACCCAGCCTGTCTTCTGTAAAAGCAGACAGTGCTCTTAGCCATTAAGCCATCTCTCCAGCCCCTGAGGACCAGGTTTCGTCTTGCACATCTCTCCCTAAGACTCAGGACCAGGCTGAGCTGGGTCCTCGAAAATAACCTGTCCCTACAGGGCTCTCAGGTGCCAGCAGAGTCCTTCTCAAAGCCCTTTTTTCCCTGGGCTAAACCCATCCTTGTTTACCACACAAGCCTTTTAGCCAGCACAATTACAGCATTGAGATCCACACAGAGACAGGCACTGCCCTGCACTTGACCTCCTACTTATTCAAATCCTCACTCCCATCCCATTGACTGAGAACAGGCAATTTGGGCTTTTCCAAAAGAAAAGTAGAGGCTCCATGAGCGCCAAGTTCACCCAAGCTCTGGCATGGCCATTCATTCACTGGGTCCCTCTGGCACTAAACACCCATGTTAGTACTCAGCTGTACTTCCAGCGATAGTAATGTTGGCAAATGTCCACGAGAGCCAGAGATGTTCAGGACAATACCATCACCATCTTTCCTTTGCTTCCCGAGATGGGGTTTCACTCTGTTACCTAGGCTGACCTTTGGCCTTCTGCCCTTGAACTTCTGATTCTCCTGCCTCCACCCTCTGAGTGTTGGGATTGCAAGCATGTGCCACCATGCCCAGTTTATGCTGTGCTGGGGCTTCAACCCTCATGCATGCTAGGCAAATACCTTATCAACTAAGCTACACCCTCAGTTTTCATTCTACCTAGAAGGAAACTGGGGCTCAGGGAAGTTAATTTGACAAAGGTCACACAGCTAGGAAATAGCAAAGGCTAAACTTGCAGTCAGGCTCACATGTCCAAAGTCATGACACACGTCTTATATTTGGTTGGTGCTTGGAACACCCCCAAAGCACTTCCATATGCGCCTTCTCATTTGCTCCCCACCCAGGGAGTGTTTATGTGATTTGGCCAACATTATACAGCTAAATTAGTGGCAGAGCTGAGTCAGCCACCTGCAGCCTTCATTATACCCTCTGCCTCTCTGCATGAATAGCCCTCAGCTGAGGACGAGGCTCCCCTCTTAGATCTGACTTGTGTTCTAGGCAATGGCTACAGGGTGGACTCAGCCTCTGATCTTATTCCCTGTCCAGGTTTCTCCCAGCTAAACTTGGACTAAGATGTTTCTGATCTCAGAGGGCACCTGACATATACTGGGGCCTTCCCTTCCCAGCCTGGCCCTTCTGTCCTGCTGTAGGCAGTACTGACTGTAGGCAGTGATTACTCAGCGGCCAATTTCCTTCACAATTCTACCGGCTCTAGACTTCCGTTTGACAGTACTGTCTGGCTCCTGGGGTCTGGTGTCCCTGGCCGTCACCATTCTGTTACCTCTGGGTTCCTAAAGCATATGAATGCCTGTCAGGAGACTGACTATGCAGGAAAATTTGAATGAAAGTATGTTTCAAAACCTTGTTTTAGTCATCACATGAATTTGCCTATTCCATCCTTCTTATCTTTTCTCTGATAGGCAGGGAAACAGCTCACCCGTCTGGAGCAGAGTCAGCCTATGCAGTGCTCACACATCTGCGGTAAAATGAACATAGCCCTGGAGGCTCTTTGAGCTGTCTAGAGTCATTAACCTCACCCACTGATTGTGTTTGTAGGTCTAGGCATGACATCAGAGTGCAACTTTAAAACTCTCCCTGAGACCATTGTGGTGAGTTACTGGCTAAGAGACAGGGTCTTGTTCTAAGCTTTGCTGGCAAACTTAATTCCCAACAACAGGCACACAGACAGGAGAGCCCTCTCTGCAGAGGTCTGGGTCTGAGATGCCTGGCCCTTGGCCAAGCAACAAGCTGATTTCCTTGCAGTCATCATGAGGCATGGAACAAGTGAGGGGGAATCAGGAAGTCGGTGACAGTCACAGTTACAAACACCCATCACACCCCTCCCTACACAATACCACACAGCTCCCTCCCCAGCCCCCAAAGGGGTCAAGCATCCAAGGAGAGGTCAACCAGGCAGGGCTCTGAGAGATCCCCACCAAGGATGCTTCTCCTGATTTGACTCTTCTGTCCAGGACTGGATGACAGGGGTGACCCTCTCTGAAAGACTTTCAGCCCTGGAGCACAAGGAGTAGTCCAGTATCTGGGAAGACACACAGAAGGATTGCCAGGGCATGCTGTGTGAGGGGAAGAGGGAGTCCTAGAGAGTGTGGCTGGCCAAGTTCCAGGGGTCTGGGCTCCCCATTCATCAGCTCAGTTTCTGGACCGCTGAGGAGGGGGTCCTACTAAGGGAGGCGCTAAGACGCCACCGCGGCGTAGAAGGCAAGAGGGACAGGTCTGGCCCGGCCCCTTCATTTTACTGCCGGGACTGGTGAGGAGGAAGAGGAGGGGACCCGGCCTGCAGGGAGCCGGTTTGCTGCACGAGCCGGCGGGGCGGGAGAGATGTCGGGAGTAGCCCGGGGAACCCGAGTTCTGAGGCGGACCGCAGGCTCGCGACCGCGCAGCAGCTTACCTGTCTTGCAGAGGCCGAGCCACAGTCGCCTAGCTGCTCGAGGGTTTCCCCGACGGGGCGGCCGGGAGGGCGGGTCGGGGCGGGTCGAGTCTTCAGCCGGGCGCCCCGCCCTGCGCTCCAGGCAGGTGCCACGGGCCTCGCGCGGCGCCACGGAGTGCTGCGGGCCGGGTGGGAGGGCGTCGGGGTTCTCGATCCTAGTCCACCAGGGGTGCAGTGTCCGCAGCAGATGCTCGCAGGGCAGCGCCCCCCGCAGGCCACCCGCATCTGCAGAGCCGCGGAAAGGGTGCTGCGTGCGGGCAGGGCGGCTGCAAGGCTGGGGAGGTGCTGCGTGCGGGCAGGGCGGCTGCAAGGCTGGGGAGGTGCTGCGTGCGGGCAGGGCGGCTGCAAGGCTGGGCGCCGAGAGCCCGGGGCTAGGTCTCAGGCGTCGGAGGTTTTCTAGGACACTTCCTCTCTCATCCAATGACAGGCAGGATCCGTCTGCTGCGTACCGTGCTAAACCCCGGCTTCAGCACACAACTCCTGTTAAGGGTGTACGTGGGAGGTTGCTAACACCCACAGAGTATTTCTCAAGAATGTCGCCCAGACCCGCAGAGCAACATCACCCTCCCGGGAAACGGATAGAAATCTAGATTATGAGACAGGCGCCGTGGCACACTCCTGAAATCCCAGCACTAGGAAGTTGAGGCCGGAAGATCTTGAGTTCCAGACCAGCCTGGGCTACACAAGTGACCAAGTCTTTAAAAAAAATTAGCCTGCCGTGGTAGCATACGCCTTTACTCCGGAGGCAGAGGCAGGAGGGTCTCTGTGAGTTCTGTGCGTTCGAGGCCAGCCTGGTCCACATACTGAGTTCCAGGCCTGCTGAGACCCTGTCTCAAAAAAGCCAAAAACAAACCAAACTAAAACAAAACAAAATTTAATTCATTCAGAGTCATTTTGCTGCCCCAACTGTGGCTGCTCCTGGGTTCTATCTAACCCTAAAATCCTGTGTCATAATCTTCGGGGGGGGTCTTCATTCTAGTAAGAAAGGAGTGAATAATTACAAATAGCTGGTAATTTGGGAACTTTGTGTCTGTGTGTTTGTGCTTCTTTGAAAAAAACCCAGCCAACCATGGGGGCTCACTCCTTTAATCCCAGCACTCCAAAGGCAGAGACAGGTGGGTCTCTGTGAGATCCAGGCTGGCCTGGTCTACATAGCCAGTTCCAGGCCAGCTAGGGCTACAGAGAGACCCTGTCTCAAAAAGACAAAAAAAAAAAAAAAGACAAAAAAACTTATTTACTTATTTGTATGTGCCCTGTGAACTGGCTGAGGCCAGGAGAGGGTGTGGGCATGGAATCCCTCAGAGTTGGAGGCAGGTTTGGTACAGAGGTACTGGAATCTGAACTCTGATCTTCATGGCTGAGCAGCAAACTCTTATTAACTGCAGAGCTATCTCTCCAACCTTTGTGTGTGTGAGTGTGTGTGTGTGAGTGTGAGTGTGTGTGTGTATGTGTTTTAAAATCAGTTAATAAAAATAATAAAAACTAATTAATTTTTATTTTACACGTATAAGTGTTTTGCCTGCTGTAAGTACATGCACCATATGTGTGCAGTGTCCACGGAGGCCAGAGTGGTCATTGGATACTCTAGAACTGGAGTTCCAGCAGCTGTTAGTCACAATGTGGGTGCTGGGAACAGAATCCAGGTTCACTGCAAAAGCAGCTAGTGCTCTTAACCACTGAGCCATCGCTCCAGCTCTTTGTGTGTGTGGATTTTTTTTTTTTGAGACAGGGTCTCAAGTGGTCCAGGCTAGCCTTGAAATCAGCATGGAACTGAGGATGACCTTGGACTCCTTGTCCTGGTTCTACCTCATCAGCTGAGATTACAAGAGTGTGCCATTGCACTCAACCTGCAAAGTTCTTTTGGTGCCTGTTGACCTAGTGCTTGGGAAGCTAAAGCTGAAGGGTTTGGAGCTGGAGGCCAATCTTGGCTATAGAGAGAAAGAGACAGAGGAAAGAAGGAACAAACTTTAGAATGCTGGTTCTCTATTTCTTTTGATAAATTAGTTTGCGTTTCTTAGTCTTTAAGACTCAGAAACAGGGGCTTAATCTAAGCCCCACAGGTTGGAGTCATCTTTTCAGAGGGGATCAGAAGTAGAGAAGTAGATCTGTGGTAGAGTCTGGAAAGGCCAGCAGAACACAGGGAAAAGCTTGCCCAGGCACACAGGTGAAATTTTCACGAGTGCAAAGGGAGGTGTCACTTATTCTTGGTATAGTCACCCACTTCCCCTACCTCTAAACACCCAGGAAACTGTTCCTCACCCCCCAGCTCCCATCCTTCCACACTAGAGACCAGGACTGGTGGTTAAGCTTCTAAAGAGATGTGTTCTGCAGATGTGTCCTGGTCATCCCTTGTAGCCCTTCTCCAGACTCTTGGGCTCACTTTAGCTCACTGCCCTGTCCACAGTCGTTCTCCCCGCCTTCCTCTTTCTTAGGGTACCAGCATTTCCTGTTGAACATTGTGAATTCCATTCCCATTCCTCTTTTCTTGGGTGTTGCCCCCCTGTACATCACCTTTGCCCCATATTTCCTCTCACCTTGCTCTTTGACCCTCGGGGTTGTGTGATCTTAGTCAGGTCCCTATATCACCTCAGACTTCCCCAGGGGAGGCTCATGACTGCTGATTCTATCTTGTAATTTCAAAGAGACTATGTCCAGCTTTCCGGGAAGTAGCAGCACCAGCCTGTGCTGTGTGCCTTCATCCCCGGAGCTGTATCTGATTATTGTTAATTAACTAATTAACTATTTTTAATTTTGTGTGCATTTTTAAAACCTTGTGTGTGTGTGTGTGTGTGTGTGTGTGTGTGTGTGTGTAGGTCAGAGGGCGACATGAGGGAGTTAGATCTTTCCTTCCCCTATGTGGATCCTGGGGATCAAATTCTGGTCATCAGGCTTGGTGACCCTGATTTTTGTTTTTTGAGACTAATTCTCATGTAGCTCAGGCTGCTTTCAAATTCAGGACAATCCTCCTGCTCCTGCTTCCCAAGTGCTAGGATTAGAAGTATGAACCATGTCTAGCTTTGATTTAATTAATTAGTTAATTAATTTTTGGACTTTTTGAGACAATATCTCCAGCTGACCTATGTAGTCCAAGTTGGCCTTGATCTAACAAAGATCCACCTGCCTCTGCCTCCTGAGTGTTGGGATTAAAGGTGTGTGCCACCATGCCCAGCTGACTCTGATTTTAAATGTTGCTTTCCATCTTCACAATGATTAGCTGCCTAATTTGAAGGAACATGCCATAGATCTATCCTTAACACATCGTTCATTGAGCTATTCTGTCCTGCAGGGAGGATGGTTAGAGCTCCCCTCACCCCCACCCCATTTCACAAAGGTTCCCAGTCACCACAGAACAGAGATTGCCCACCCAGCCTCCACTGGTGGCAGTCTATTTTTAAAAATGGCTTCCCCAAATTGAACATGGTAGCACACACTTGTAATCCTGGCACTTGGGAGATGAAGGCAGGAGGATCAGGAGCACAAGACTATCCTTGGCTACAAAGCATGTTTGAGGCCAACCTGCACTACATGAGACCCTGTCTCAAAAAAGGAAAGGGGGGCACTGAGATGGCTCAGAGAATAAAAGGTCTTGTGCCAGCCTGATAGTCCGAGTTTGATCCCCAAACCCACATGGTAGAAGGAGAGAACTGACTCCTGGAAGTTGTCCTCTACATGAGCATGCATGCACATGCACAATGGACACTCACATAATATAAAAATAGACATAATAAATAAGCAGATGATTTTCTTTAAATGACAAATTTGTATATGCATGTGGTAAGGGGGGAGGGCGGAGTCAGGCACTCTGACAAGATAAAGATTAAAAATTACATTTCCCTCCTCCCTGGACCTGCAGCCCCTCTTCTGAAATCCTCCATGCATGCTCTGGACCATCTTTTCCTTCTTTAGGCATTTTTGCAGGACAGGCCTGGATTCCCCAGCTGCAAAGATCCAAGATAACCCCTTCCAGGAAACCTTGTGAATTTCATTTTTTCTCACAATCTGGTTTTATTGCTCAACCATTTTAGGTTCTGGTTTGGGGCAGTCTGCTTCTCTTTTCAGGGGTTTTCCCCACCATAGGGCAGGCACAGTGGGGAGCAGATCAGCTGAAGCCAGCTGAATCAAGGGACAGCTCTGTGAGCTGGTGATTGCAGCTGGGCTCCTTATCAGCTTTCTCCCCCTACAGGCTGGTGAGTGGATGGCTATCTCTCGGAGAGACAGGAGGGGGGAGTCCTGCCCTTCACAGAGAGGGGCTGGCTCCACTTATCTGGGAACACTTTCAGGAGACACCACGAGCTTGCCAGGGGGGCTAAATGGGAGCTGCTGGTCCAACTAGCCACCACCACCCCTTGCCTCACCCCCAGTGGGTGGTGCCTGCAAGTGATAAGAGGGGTCAGAGAGGCCCAGGGTTGTTGTGAAGCTTACAGTGAGATAACTGATGTGAAAGTATTTGGCTCTTCTAAATGTCACTTGCTTCTTTAGCTCTTTTGTTCCTGTTTTTGTCCTTTTGCCCAGGGGAGAAATAACCAATGTAAGAGACGTGTTAGGAATCTAGGCAGAGCTGTTTCAAATTCTGCCATAGTCACGTAAGCATTTCAGCTCACTTGCCTCAGCGTGCCTTGATTTCATTATCTATAAAATGGGCTTATTATTTCAAGTATTGTGTAATAAGTAATAAAGTAAATAAGTAAAGTGATTAGTGGGCATGGTAGCATACGTTTGTAATCCTAGCACTTGGGAGGCTGAGGCAGAATGATTACCAGGACTTTGAGTGACACTCTGCCTCAAAAAACAAACAACTGCTGAGTGTGGTGTTGCAAGCCTTTAATCCCAGCACTCAGGAGGCAGAGGCAGGCAGATTTCTGTGTGACTGAGGCCAGCCTAGTCTACATAGTGAGTTCTAGGCCAGTTGGGGCTACAGGGAGACCCTATCACAAAACAAAACAAAAAAACGAATAAAAGCCAGGAAAAAGAGGCTGGAGAAATGACTCAGTGGTTAAGAGCATTGGCTGCTCTTGCAGAGGACCCAGGTTCAATTCCCAGCATGGACATGGCGTCTAAACACTGTAACGCCAGTTCCAGTGGACCCAACACCCTCTTCTGGCCTTAACAGGCATCGCATGCATGGGTGCACTTATATACATGCAGGCAACACTAATAAAAACTTTAAACTAATAAAACTAATAAAAACTTTAAAAAATCAGCAAAGCATTTAATCCAGTACTTAGTAAACAATACACAATACAGTCTTAGAAAGTTCACCACTGCCATCGGCTATTTTTCTTCCTTTCTTCAATTAAGCATTGTGTTGTGGTTATTGTTTGAAGCACGGTTTTCATATGTAGCCCAGACTCTCGAATGCTGGGAT